AGGACCTCGACTCCGTCTCGGTCCATAAACACGCAAAAAAAAGAACTTGGCCAATATCCAGCCATCTTGACCTCACACTTGGCCAATAACCCATACATACCAGTGTGCACAGTTCCCGTGAGCACAGTGCCCGTGAGCAGAGTGCCCGTGCCTGGGTACAAGGTGGAGACCTTGACCAGATGGTACTTGTGTACTTGGAGTAGTAGTGTCTGAACGCAGCGCCAGTGCCCAGGCACCAGTGTGAACACAGCCTAACTCACACCCTAAGCGAGAAAACACACGTGATCTTGCCACTAGCTTTTAGGTAGCACAAACTGATGACAATTATTCTTTCGTTAATTTGCTTTGTGTACATTAATATAATGTCACGAGCGCAATAAATCAAAACTTACCAAGATCGGTGCAAAGACGGGCTGCTTCAAATTATGACAAGACTTTCTCCAATACTATGTTCTGAGTATATTTCTTTACTTAACGCAAACCTAAAATTAAAAAAAAAAAAGTTACACAAAATTTCAAAATCATTTACTATAGTTGAGAGGTATTCTCTTATACATATCATGTAGCTGTTAACAATAACAATAAAATATTTTAACAATGGAAATTTGAAACTTGAAATATGTTTATTGGTGAAAGAGGTTTTTAAAACGTAAAACTCTCTTAATCCGTAGCAATGTGTCATTTGTCTGGACTTGTTTTTGTTTTTGTCTGGATTTGACATTTGTTCTTGCCATTTTAATGGACAGAAAAATACTGTGTTGTTCATACAAGAAAATACCAACTTTTTTCCGCTTTTGGGTCCTTCTTGGATGTTGTGTTACATAACATAATTTTGTCGGACGTGGTACTCGGTATGTATAGCATCGCGCCTTATTTAAGGTTTTTTACTTTTTTTGCTAAAGAAATCCTAGTAGATAATTACCATGAAATAACAGCCACAAACTGCATGAATGTAGTCCAATTAGGTCTAATCATAAAATAAATCATGAGATGATAAGTAAGTTGAAGAGCACGCATTTTTCGTCACAAAATTATTCGTTGAATCTCAGAAACAAATCTACTAATTGCAAGTTTCACAATGCTTTGTTTAGCTTTAATCTTTGACATCTAGTAGACTCTTGTGGATTTTAATACACTTCAATACGAAATTCACTTGATTTGATGGAAGAACACACCAGAATTAAAATTGGCATCTGCGTCTAAAACTATTCAAACATTTTATGTAGATTTGCCACACTCGCACCTCTCACTGTATTCCAGTATTGACTTTTGAGATTTTCGGTCACAGCTCATAATAACCAACACCAGCTGACTTGAAAATTCACCAATCAGGTCCAAGGAATTGATTAAAAGTTAATTAGGTGACGGCGAGAGTTATTTTTTTTGAAGTATATATTTTTATTATGCTTTTATGATGTTGGGATATCTAAACTTGTTTTAAATTCGCCCTCTGGGGAGATTTTAAGAGGTTACAAGTCAATAACTGTTCATATTGCTCGCACAAATGCAAAGATAGCAGTGCAATTTAATTCCTACGAAAATATTAATTGGAAAATGTTTTCTTGTGAAGCTGAAGAGCTGCGATGCCCGCCTGGACTCGATATTATCATTGAAAAGTGAATAACTACTCTATCAAAGGTAAGATATATATCGAGGTATTTCATGATAATGGATTGTTAAATATCAAAGAGAAATCGGTGATACTGCCAGAAAAACTAATACCAGATCAAACAAGCTGATAGCCATGCTCTGTAATATCGTTTTCATATTTCGATGCTCGTAAAAACCAAAATGGTTTCTGTGTAATCTGCATCTTAAACAAATAAACGGCGCGGTTGTAACAGCTTTATATCTTTAGCGCAAAAATTGACGAACAAAACTCATCTAATCAATAAAAAGATTTCCTTTTTTGTTTTTTTTAGATTTACGGCAAATAGAATACAGCCAAAGTTTCTCATGTTATATTCATTGAAATTCAACGCTTCTTATGCAAATTACGCTGCAAAAAGTGTTACATTTTGGGATTTCTTTTGTAAAACAACGCTAACACAATTCTGTAGTTGTAGCTTCAATTAAAACGACTCCAAAGTATTTATTTTCCTGACACATTGCTACAGGGGAATCCTTGATTACAATATTTGCTTCATTAGCATAAGCATTCCAGTTACTGATGAAGCTAAAAAAAAAATCAGTTCTGAATATTGAAAGATCATAGCACCATTCACTCTGTCAATGAATTTGACCGCGATGTATTGAATCGTTTTCGTGCGACGCGGGTTTTAAAACCTCAAAATTTTACAAAGAATATGTGAGCTCATTAGCGCTTTTGCAGGTTTTGAAAGACAATTTCTCCTTGAACATTACACCCGAAGAGCTAAAAATTTCACATTGTGTTTAGTTTATTTGGAGTCAATCAAATTTACGTCATATGTTGCCTTCTGTGCGCGAAGCTGTATGCTAATGAGCCAAATGTAAACAATGGCCTCAGCAAGTATTCCTCTTTGGTACTTAAATCAAATTTCTTTGAACGCAGTAGTACGGCATTTAAACATCTTTTTCCACATCGCAACTGTCTCATAGTGGCTTTTTTTATAGTTCAGTCACAAGATATCGATAATTACTTGCAGTTCAGTCATAATTGTTTGTAAATTGTTTGGTTGATGAAGAAATTTAAGAAGCTATCGAAAAAAACACGAACACATGCTTTCAATAATTTATAGAAAGGGACTTCGCTGCAACCAGTACTCTCGAGTGTCAAGTTCCTGCTAAATAACCCGTCTGTCATAATATCACAATGGCACGAATGAATATCTTTTGCAGTTTAAACCGGTAAAAAATATTATCAATATTTTGACATTTAAATTTTAAAGGACTGGATGAAAACATTTTCCTGTTTTCTTATTAAAGTCTACTCAACATAAATGGAATATTTTGAGAAAAATCAAAAGATTCTTGCGATGGTGTGCACAGCCACCAAACCTTCTATTTCATAAATTTAAGGTGGCAGTCAACCCCTTCGATGCTGAATTTCTTTTCAAGGGAAGAAGTTTGACTTAACGAACTGTCTTGTCCTTTACTTTTCTCCGAAAGAGGCAAATTTTTAAGTTTGCAAATTTTCTGAAAGTGGCTAGACCGTTGCATGCTGTAGAAACTTAAACGCTACGCACGTGAAGATTTCAAAAGAGCACACAGTCGATAAGAGAGAATTTAGCTGATAATGACACTAAAGACGTTATGAAGTTTTACCATGAATTATTGGGTTGTATTCGTGTATATTAAAAGTTAATGGAGAAAAAACCCCGTCCTTAGAAACTTCCAATATTAACCATGAATTAAAATATAAAACTTTAAGGTAAAAAGCTGTTAAAATTGAGTCTTAACGTTTTCGATCTGTTTGATCATCATCAGAGTGAATGCCAATTGTGAAGATTTAGGAAAGAAGATTAAGAAACACACGAATCCTGAGTTCTGAAAAAAAAATCCCTGTTTTTCCTGAAGAAAGGCACCTCTATTTAACATCTTTCGTTTACAATTCCTTAATTAACTGCTATTGTTTTTCGAAGAGTTAATTACCGCTCCAAGCTGTCCAATCCTGGTGGCAGCGTGGCCGAGTGGCCAGCGCGTCGAACTCGCAATCCAGCGGTCCCGGGTTCGAGCCCACTACCTGGATTTGTCTCTTGGTAGCCACGAGTTCAAATCCTCGGAAGCGCTTGTAAATAGCCAACTGGTTTGCCTCCGGCCAGTTGGGATTCTTAACAATGTTATGTTCAATTTGAATTATTTGTTTCAGTAGTTTGGTCGGCCCCACTAGCCTTTGGTAAATAAAGGTTATTTATGTTTTCATTTATTATGGCCATTATCTTCGTACATGTTAACCGCTTACTATATATGGTAGTTCTTATTCACTGTAGGGCGGTCAAGACGCGATGTTATACAATCACAACCCCATGATTGTTATCAAAACTCATTGTTGTATCAAACTGCCTACTGTGGGCTCCTCATTGTTTAGAAACTATTGGAAATTTAAAACCAATTCCCTATTCTTATATTAATTTAAATTAGTATGAATATATATTATGGAATAATTTAAGAGCAAGATTTCTTCGCGTTTACCACCGAGCGCAAATTATGAACTTGGACATTTTAAAATAAGCAGCTTTTGTTGTACTTGTCTGAGTAGGCTGTCAATTTCTAATAAGAAAAATTAAGCGGCCCGCTTTATTTTTACATATTTTTTATTCAATACTTTTTTTGTAAAGTGTGCCTTACTGATCTAAGCGAAGAATATGGATAAGTTCTTTATATAAGCCAGAAAATTTGACAGATCATAAGAGTTACATAGCGGCATCACGAATATAACTTTATCTGATTCAGAGGCCTTTTCTTTATAGGCACATTGCTTTTAAGGTCAAGAAACATTCAGCCGCTTCTCTCGACTATAAAACCAACAGTTGATATTTTTCTCTGAAGTGATACAATGATAAAAAATGTATAGCCGTATATGTATGTTTACGATTTTGAATTTAAAACATACATCGGTTTAAAACTAATCCGTTGTTGTAATTAAATTGCATCCGTTCTGTAAGTTCTTTATTATAACACTGGTTCATAGTTCGGCATAAATGTAGTTCAAGAAAGATGTCTATCAAGAACTTAGGTAAACACTAATACCATTCAGCACGACTTGGGCTGTCACTGGCGTCAAAAATATTATGTAAACTTCACAGCAATGCTTTATTGCTTCCTCGACAGCAGTTTTCTTTTTGAGTGTTGAATGAACCTTGTACTGACACAGTAGCCAATGGGAGCGCTTGTTTTGAGGTAAAATATGCAGAAAAGCTCAAGTCATTCGGCTTAATCTGTTTGCTTTCAATAAGGCTTTCAACTCAGTTCTCTCTGCCAGTGTGAAGCGGAAGTCGACCATAACTCTTCTGAAATTGTTCAGAAAAACTCCGTGACAAATCTGT